AATGTATGATAATTCAGCTATTTTTATTTTGATTAATAAAATAATATAGTTGTATATTTAAATCATATTATCTATTTTATTTATATGTTATTATATATAATAATACATAAAAATTTAAAAATATAAAAGATAAATAATATATATAATTAAACAAATATATATTTAATTATGTATATTATATATGTATATATATAATTAAATATACCGATATATGTATGTATATAAGTAATTAAATATATTGTAAACATGTATATATGTAATTAAATATATAGATATATGTATATATCTAATTAAGTATATTATATATGTATATAAATGATTAATACAGATATATGTATATATATTACTAAATATATATATACGTATATATAATAAAATATAAAAAAATCAAGTCACAATACAAAATGAAATCAAGTGCCTATATGTATGTATGTATGTATATATAATTAGATGAAAAAAAAAAAAGAAAAAAAAAAGTGAGTATAAATGTAAATAATAAAAAAGATTAAGAGTATAAATGGAAAAAAAATCATCTAGATCACATTAAACTACTTATTTGTTGGTTTGAAAAAAAAATTAAAAAAAAATTGTAATTTTTGAATAATGCAATAACTGTAAAAAAAAAATTATATCATATATATGAAAATACAAGCAAACAAGATAAAATTATAAACAAATTATACCGTACATTAATATACCATCATTCAAACAGGACTTAAGAGTTATAGTTGATAAATATGTTGATCTTCATCTTTTACTACCAATAAAAGAATAATTTATTTTATGTGATATTCTTTTTTATTAAAGGTTGTGTTAAAAAATTTTGGGTACCAAACTGATATGACATTTTATCCTATAAAAGTTGACTAATGATCATGCACTGAATGCCCTCTTATGCTCTTGGTTTGAATAATTTATTAATCACTAATAATCTTTTTCTTGATCATATGATAAGACTATAGTTGGGGATTTGTAAAAGATAAGAAACCAAACTATTTTCAAACTTATTGTTCTTTAACTATAAAATGTTCGGTATTATTTATTTAATTTTATTTAGAGTTTTATGCTTATAAAACTTGGGAATACTTTAAAACTACCTACATGGCTTATAAATTGGCACAAGCCTTCCCCTTGTTACACAAAGTTTAATATACATGTTTAGTTTCACTTATTAACTTGTTATAGGCTTAGAGTGGTCTTTATTGTGTGGAGGGCCAAGTCTTATTGTATGCAATTAAGCTCATTGAGAAACCTCTCTTAATTATAATGGTTAAATAAACTACTGTTTTATTTAATATGTACAATTTTTCAATTTTAGTGTAGAACGATTGCCTAGTTGTGGTAGAGAACATCAACCGTCTACACTTTTAGTTGATGATGTTTGTGACTTAATTGTATGAAATAATTGTAATTTTAGTTTTCATTTTTGTCCATAAAATTTATAATCAAATTTCATGTACTATACAAATTTTGCTTTGTCTTTCACTAATAACTTAATTTGGGATGTTCTTAATATTGTTGCTTCTCTCATCCCATCAAATGTAATTTCATTTTATTAATATTATTGTGTTCATGTTTCCTTTTTTTAAAAAAAAAAATTATTGATTTATATTATATTATGTTTCTATAATTATATTTTTCATCTTACAGAACAAAAGATTATTATATTTTTCAGTTTTTAATTCGGATTAAAATAAAAATAAAAATTATCGTTATTTCAAGCATAAAGTATCCATATATGTTACAGTTAGTTTATAAAGAATTAGTTCATTTTAATTTAATATGTGTACATATAAGACATTAACTCCACTACAAATCGTTAAGTTAATTTCTGTATATTGAAAGAAATCTATTTAATATAGTAAAAATTAAGAGATTTATGTACCAATAAAAAATAATTAAATGGTGAATTCAATTTATAAACTGAGACACACTTAATGAATGTATTGAATAATTACTGGTAATAAACTTTTTGAAATGTGTGGTGCAACTTTAAGACTTTTAACGTGTCAACACGAGTTGGACTTTGACATTCTCAATTCTCATGCTTACACTAAATAATTTTCCGCGGACCAACCAGTCAATATTGAGTAGTCATCAGTATATTTCATTCTCTTTCTAATTATTGAACGAAATTTCATTATGAAGGAAAAATCAATTAACATTTTCTTCATTACTCATTATATCAAAACTATTCAATTAATTTTAATCCTTTCAGGCAATCAAACCAAATGAGGACTTTTCTATCTTTCTCATATATACCCCCATTGTTAAAACAAAGGGAAACAGAGGAAACAAAAAAAAAGAAAAAAAAAAAAATATATATATATATATATATATATAAATACTAGTGCCTTTAATCCAAATACAATTTGATTGTGGAGCTTCGTCCCAGCAGTAGAGACAATTAAGCAACCCAAGGAAACATGATGGACTTCATGTGCTATATCAGATCAGTAGTGAATGTGAGACAATTAAATATCTCAAGGAGATGCTTAACATGGAAGGAGTTTACCTCAATTATGTTTTTTTATTAAAAAAAAAAAATTAATTTTTCAAAAAGCTTGAGTCCATAAAAGATACCCTATAACTCAGTAGCTACGGCCCGATCCACACCCTAATTGCTCATGAAGTCAGACACCCATTTGTTATGGTTATCCCTAATGACGGGGGAGAGTATGGAGATGATCGAATCAACTCTTATAACTCACTCAACATTAAGAAATACCGAAACTTCAACCGTTTAGATAAATTCTTCTCTCTAATTGAATCTACAATTATAAAAAGAATGCAAAAAATAAAAAATATAAAAATAAAAAAATAAAAAATATATACTACAGACTTGCTGATAAGTTAATATCTGCTTCTTAGCTCATCAAGACTTCTGAGACTCCTACTTCTCGAAGAAATTGAAGAAACTAAAATTAACAAAATTGTTAATAGAAAAATAACCTAAGTTTTCAAAAATTTTCTCAAATTAATTTAATTGATGTATTTACAACTTATGGGTAAATACATATTTATAGCATTTTTTACGATAATCTAAATGAGTACAAAACTCTTGCATAAATTAATAAAATAATATCATAAATAAAATTTTATCTAAATTGAGGATAATTACATAATAAAATATTTATTATATCTCATCTAAA